AAGTCATCTGAATTCCAGTTTTTTTTACTTGATGAATGGATAATAATCATGGGAACATTGGATCATTGGTCGAGTGCTATTTATTGTACAAGATGATGCCCTATTACTAATTAAACAACCAAACACGACGATTTAGAGGGAAAAAAATAAAATAAAAAAATGATAAATAAGAAGCAATCAGGTCTGCCCAGCAGAATCATCTACAAACAACCCAGTTTAGTATAGTGAAAAAAAAAGAAAAAGAAATAAAGGGTTTTTTTTTTTTTGGTTGGAAAAATGCCCACCGCATCTATGTTGGCCGACGTTGAGGACTTTTCTGAGAGTAGCTACGGTCATGCTCATGCATAGAGACGTAGATATACCACCAACAAGTGCATGCTGCTACCATTTATTTAGTTGTTTAATTTGTAATCAGTTTCTTACCTTCCCTGAAAATTCTCAATCTGAGAGAATAAAGGAGAAGTAACAGTTACTTGAGAATCATCACTGACAGAAACACCAGAGTCTCCTCCACAAACTTTTCCATTTGGCTTTTCGAAGGCAATTATGTGACTGGTGCTTTTATCCTCTGGAAGATCTGTTTGAGTTTGAGAGGAAGTCTCCTGAAGCTGCAAGGCATATTCTAGGTTCCACAATACATCTCCCATGCCAGGCCTGTCAACACCATGTTCTGCTAAACACTTCTCCGCAGCTTCCACGAATGTTTTCAGTGATTCTTCGTTGATACTTCCGGCGATATGTGGATCAATTATCTTGTTAAGCACTCCCTTCCTGTGACACTGCATTGCCCACTCAGCCAAATTCACCTGCTCTCTTGGTAATGCCGGGTTTATTACAGGCCTTGCACATAAAACCTCAAACAAAACCACTCCAAACGAATAAACATCAGATTTCTCAGTAAGCTGCTGTCTCCTGAAGTACTCAGGATCAAGATATCCAAAGCTACCCTTCACGGCAGTGCTCACATACTGTTGTTCCATTGGTGCAGCTTTGGAAAGCCCAAAGTCTGATACTTTCGCAACCAAATTCTCATCAACAAGTATATTTGTGGTTTTTACATCGCGGTGGATGATGCCTTGTGCTGCACCGGTGTGCAGATAATGCAAACCTCGAGCTGCACCAATGCAAATCTCAAGTCGTTGTTTCCATGACAAAGGGGCTTTTTTTGAGCCATAGATGTGGTCACGAAGCGGGCCATTAGCCATGTACTCATAAACAAGAATCATCTCTGATTGTTCATCTGAGAAGCCAACAAGTGATACAAGGTGGCGATGCCTTAGCATGGAAAGCATTTGTATTTCTGTCTGGAACTCGTTTATGCCCTGCTCTGATCCTGGGTTCCCTCGTTTTATTGCCATCTTTGTTCCATCTTCAAACACTCCAAGATAAACTTTTCCAAACCCACCAACTCCAATCACTGCCTTCTCATCAAAGTTTTGTGTGGCATTCTGCAATTCACTAAAACTGAAGTACCGGCCAAGACCTTGATTAGAAAAGTAGCTAGAATAACCACTTTTGCTTGTCCGGGAACCGAAAATGCTTGATCTCCTCGAGCTGCTCTTGCTGGTCGAGAAAAAAGATTGGCTGGTGTGGAGAGGAAGGAGCCATGACGAGAAGCTGTTTCGCTTCTCCCAATCTCGAGGCCCCTGTTGCCACCGGATGCACACAATTGCAAGTAACAGCATTGCTGTCACCCCCATTGCAAGCCCAACACCCGCAACAATCTTCATTGGACGTCCTCCACCTGATGATCCATCAACGCCAAATAAACCATCCAAGCTCCTCATTGAGTTGCTAATCTTTATGACCTCCAATCCATTAAGAATAGCATTAGAGATGCCTGACTGCATGCCGGAAGCAGGGCCAACCTGAACCCTGACGGAACCATTCCTGATGGACGAGGCATTGAGCACAAAATCTGTATAATATGCAGTTGAAAGGGCATTGTTTATGGAAGAAAGATCAAGACCTGATACACTCATCATGCTGTTTATATACACGTTGAAGTACAAATCATTAAGGGCCTGGCTGACAACGTCACAGAAGTGCATTCTGATCAAGTACGAAAATCCAGGATCAACATTCATCTGCCATGTCAGATTGAAGTTTGGTTGCAGCGTCTCAGATTCTGCCATTTCATCAGCAGTTGCATAAACCCAGTTCGGTGCGATATATGGAGCAGCTCCACTTTGCTGGTATTTGACAGCACTGGGAATAATGGATGCATTCTGCGCTCCTTGGGGAAAGACGTTGTATGGGGTATCAGGCAGCCATGTCCTTGACAAGGTATCATTCATTGGAGTTATGGTTGGTCCTCCAACATTCAACCGATAACACACTTCAAAAGCATGCTGAAACAAACCATTTAAAGTTCCACCTTGGGGAACTGTGGATGCAGAATCAGAGATAAGACCGTCAGGGGCTGACACAACTTCGATGGCATTGATGAATGCAAAAGATCTCTCCTTGGGCTTGAAAAGGAGGGAGAATCTATCACCGGAAACATTAAAGAGGTATTCCTTGAAAACCAGTGTGGAGTTATCTTTGACAAAGAAGTCATGTAAAAGGACAACCTCATCAGTGGTGATACTGAAAACAGCACTGGTTAGATTGTATACAGGGTGAGGAAGCGGGTGAAAATAAAAACGAACCCAATGCCACCCTGGACGAGTGATGTAAAATGTATATTTTGAAACAGCCGTCAAAATCCTAGCACTGCGAAATAAAGGGAGCGCAGAAGAAGAGACAGAAAACACTTTCACGGAAATGGAATCGACAGAAGTTTGTACATCTTCACTGGTTTCAAGGTAACTCCGCGAGGAAGAATCAGATTTGAAGGTTCGGCCATCATCAAGCTTGGTATCCTGCGGTGATCCACAATCAATTAGATAGTTATCCGGAGGTGTGTATGCAGCCACAGAAGAAGAGTTTATTGCGGAAGTGGAGTTCACAAGGACGAAAAGAAGATTGGAAAGTAAAAGCAGTGAAAGGGAGGAGATCGGCCAGTTCTGTCGGCCTTCCATTCTCTAGAGGTGGTGTAGAAAAGGGTAATGTTGCTTGTTAGCAAAACGGTGGCCGCAGCAGCAGTGGTGGTGACATTGGATTGTGTTTGAAGGGGGGTTTAGCTTTGCACGTAATAAAATGGCTGCGAAGTTGAACAAATAAAGAGAAGATAGATGGGAGCAGGCAAGGGAAGGACGTGCAGGGTTGTTATGTTATAATATTTGGATTGGATGGGCAGTAAGAGGGAAGACTTGGTAAGAAAAATGATCCTTAAAGCTTAATAGCGAGCTACGCGTTGAACCTTGTATGCCACTACTACTACCAACAACAGCAGCAGAAAAAACAATCATAAATGCCTGCAAACCAATGTTTTATATTCATAATCAATTAATCACCCTCACCACTACTTCTGCTTACTGCTTAGCCATGTTCCTGCTTGCTGCTAATGCCCTTTACGTATGGATTTGAACTCTTGAATTTTGTTCGCCCCGTTTTTATAAAAATTAAAAAAAAAGGCAATAAATATAATACCACATCATCCAAATTTACTCCAACCTTTTATTATTGTCATTCCTTTGTTATCATCTTTTGATTAAATATTTTGAGAATCATTTTTTTATTTATGGTGTTTTTTATCTTTAAATGTTTTAACTTATACCAAATCTTGTTTCTGGTCAAATACATATGGTTTTTACAAGTCTAATAAAAAATAAAATATTTTGAAACAATTAAAAATAATATTGTGTGTGGTACTATATGATATAATAGTGAAACTACTACATTAATTAAGAAAAGAGGAGTTGGCTGACTCTTTAATTTAAATGTGTTTGTTATTGTAGAAGATAGTAACATTTTTTAACATAAGAGAGAAGATAATTGAGAAAAAGAAAAGAAGTTGAGGTAGTTATACTGTCTGTTTTTATTTTTTATTTTCCAGCTCGATTACTGTTGGATTTCACTGAAATTTTGATAGCAGCTTCTAAATACATTACTCTTCATTCTGAATAGTTGAATCTAAGATTAGTGGTATGAAAGCTAACTGTTTTGATAGAAAACAGGATTGTCAGTATTGTGAGTTTTTCTCAAATACTTCTCTTTAATCTTGTTGTATTCCAAGAATAAGTTGTTTTTAATGATATATATGTTGTAGCCCTTAGTTGAATCTAAAAAGGAACAATTATGAACCCATTATTTATTGATAGTAGAAGTTTTTAGATGGACTATGATCTCGTGGTTTTTCCCGCAATGAGTTTTCCATGTAAAAATCTTGGTGTTGATTTGTGTGATTGTTGATTTATATTTATTGATTCTTTGATCCTGATTTTGATTGTACAAAGAGAAAAAATAATTGAAACTTATAAATTATGAATTCATCTAGGTAAATTGGTGTTCTATTATTTGTTTTTAGTTTTCCCAAAAAAATAGAAACGTGGAGAAATAAAATGGGACAACTGTTGGTTCTGCTGACTAACAATATTAAGGTAAAGGCTTATGAGCTCAATTTCCTTACTATTTCTCTTCAGGACACAAAGAACTTGACTTGCTACAGATGAGAAATGAGTTTTCCTATTTTGATGTATTTCAGTTTAAAATATTGTGCAAAGAGAATGAGATCCACGATCATGGGATGAAGGAATATCGGTTATAAAAAATGGATATTTCCATAGCATCCGATCTATGAAAATTACACATTATCACTGCATCCTGCAGCCCTGTTCTGATGTTCTTAGATATACCAATCCTCGTCATATCCTCTTTTGTACCTCTTTTAGCACCTAGAGAAAGTGTACTTTAAGGCTCAGTCTTTGCATTCTCGTTATCACCTGAAAACCAGAAAAGAAAAAGAAGAAAATAATATACATGCACACTCGCACACACAAACAGAGACAAGATGAAGATACATATAATATGCCAGAAAAATAAGAACACTTCGGTTCTTTGTTCTAAACCTTCTGGTGGATTATCCTGTACCCATGCTATCTCTGCAACACGATGCCTACATAAAAAGAATACGACACAAACTTCGTTTACAAAGCACAATAGCACAGTTTAGTATTGACGCCAACATAATCAAGGTAAATAGATGATACAGCACTTAAAAGAAGATCAAGCGAACCCATCTTGATCCCAAGATCGAAGGATACTAAATCTTCGGCGACTCTCAACCTGGATGACATTATGCTTTATGAAACAGCCAGATATATTATAAAGCGTAAGGTGGCAGGAGCCACAACTAGACATAATGCAAACAGGAATGCACAATTTAAGATCGAACGAGACCCATTAGCAGTCGATTCTCCTTTCCATTTTATTTTTTTCTTCTGCAGATGTGTGGATTCTACAGCCATGAATTGTCCAATTAATAGTTCCAAGTGCTATTCAGTTACCTTCAGAGTCGAAGCATCACGAACTCCTTTCCCATTATGCTTGCCTAGACTGACAAAATTATGTTGAATAATTTGAAACATCAAAGTTCAACAATTTTGTTTTCCATTAATGAGCATAAAGAAGCTATCTAAAGACTCTGTTTCTGGAAAGCTCCTACAATCATTTTTCATTTCTAGCCTCGCAATGCTCCAGCAAATCTGAGCCCACCAAGATTTTAGAGAATTTAAACCCAGCAAATTTTCTTTTTATTTTAAGCCTAGCAAGGCTGTTGCAAACTTTTTTCCTTAAAGCGGAATTTGAGTCCAATAAAATTTTGGCAAATTTAAACCCAATAAGATTATTATTTTATTTTGAGCCAAATAAAACTCTTATAATCACTTTATAAAATAACAAGTTAAATCTTTCTTTACCTTTAACATTTTTGTAGTTTTTACTTTTAATTAATAAATCAGCTTCCAAATTACTTCACACATAAATAAAATCATTAAGATATATATTAGTTGTTCAAACAAGTTACAAGTCTACACCAATGTTATTAATATTGGTAAAGTAAAGATATTGTTTGTCTGTTTAAAATAACATTCGTGGGTTGGGGGTTATGTGATGTAAGAAAGTTAATAGTTTTATATTTAACATTTTTTTTATAGCAAAAAAGGCAGTCAAGATATCTAGATGGGTGGAATTTGAAATCTCCTATACCGAACACCCTCTAACGATATATATATGTATTCTTTGACACCGAGGAAAAGTCATTGGTTTGGTTTGATTTTAAGTTTTTCTTACAATATTTGAACAGCAGCTGTCCCTAATGTACGGTGAGAAATGGAAAATATCCCGAACGAACTTGGAAGAAAGTAGAAGCTGTGGTTCAGAGCATTGCTCATGAGTGAATTTTCAACTCTAAACAAAATGAAGAATGTTTTGGTGTACAATCAGAATCTGTGTAGTGTGTTTTCCGTGTGATGTTGTTAGAGTAGCGTAGCTAGACTTGTATATGGACATCTTATAAGGGCAACTAATCACTCATGATCGTCATCTAATCTTGAAAATCAGCATGAGGAAGGAAAGAAATCCCCCCACGGCCAGGCCCGCAGCATTATAGTTTTATTAGCATTGCTAGCACCTCCTTCATGTTTGGTCTACTTTGTGGTGCCTCTGCCGTGCATCCTATTCCAATCCTTAGTAGCTCACACATCTCCTCCGCTCCCTCAGCCAACCCTGAGCCCAGAAGCACTACTGGTATCCTAGCTCTACTTAATCCATGCCTGCCGCTTCCCATCACCCTTCTAGCCCATTCCAGTAGGCACTCTTCTCCTCCATCCACAGCTCGCCTCCCTGTTGCCAGTTCCATTGACAGTACCCCAAAACTATACACATCGCCTTTGGTAGTCACGTGGAAAGTTTGTCCGTATTCCGGCGCAACATACCCAACGGTGCCAGCCACCATTGTGCTCACATGGCTGTCCCCGACATCAACAAATCTAGCAAGACCGAAGTCAGTGACTCGTGCCTTGCCATCTTTATCTAGCAGGACATTGCTAGCCTTGACATCACGGTGCACAATCGCAGGGTAGCACTCATGGTGAAGAAATACTAATGCGCGTGCCACATCAATTGCTATGTCAATACGCCTCCTCCATGTTAGCCTCGTCCTATCTGATATAAGATCCTCCAAGCTTCCACCCTTCATGTACTCATACACCAATATTTTCTCTGTACCATCAAGGCACCACCCATAAAGTGTTACTAGGTTTGGATGAGGCCAGCCGAAGCCATTTCCAGTCAGAACTTCCATTTCAGCTCGAAATTCCTTTTCACCTTCAATTCCTTCTCTCTGTAGCTTCTTAACTGCCACTTCTCTTCCATCAGGCAATACTCCTCTGTACACTGTTCCAAAACCTCCCTTCCCAATGATTCTGCTTTCTGTAAAATTGCCTGTTGCCTTCAAGATGTCAGCATGAGTGAATGCTGTTCTGTCCAAACGTATCACCTTAACTTTATCTGACCACCATGGAGATGAACTCCCTGAACTTGATGCAAACTCATGCCGGAGGTGTTTGGTATCGTCTAAGAGGTATCCTGGTGACTCTGCTGGACTTTTCACCAGGATGCAAACTACAAGTGAAGCAAGTCCGCAAATTAATAAGGCCATAGTCATTGTTAAAAGCACCAAAACTGCAACCCACTTTTTAGGCTCTTTCTTCTCGATTTTTGGATATTGTTTTGGCGGGGAACCCATGGAATTGTTGATAAAGCTGGGAAGTTTCAGGAGTGGATCGCCAAGGTAGGAATCTTTCTCAAATGTTGCCAACTGCCCAGTTGTTGGGATTGTACCAGAAATTAAAGGATTGTAAGAGATGTTAAACCTGCTAAGCTCACTCAAGTTGTTCAAGCTCAGAGGAAACGTGCCAGAGAAGTTGTTGCAAGATAAATCAAGATTCTTTATGCATTTGGCGTTCCCAATTTCATTTGGAATTTCGCCGGAGAAGGTATTTTTGGTGAGGTTTAAGACTACCAGTGGCAATTGTCCAATCTGTGGAGGAAGCGTACCGCTCAAGTTATTGAAACCCAAATGTATCATACTGAAACTATGCATCTTACCAATATCTCCAGGGACCTCTCCAGAAAGCTGGTT